TAGGCAATTAAAATGCGAGCAGCAGGTCTATAATCTAGTAAATTTGATTTTAAAATCGAATAAATACGAATAGATATGTGATACTCTTGCCGGTAATATCGTGGTAATATTCTGTAACTTACTCGTAAATCACTATATATTAGAATTTCACTGCTTTAGTTTTACTACATCATCATCATCAGAGTATATAAGTTTGGAATTAATTGTTGGGTACTGGTTAGATATCCTGCTGTCTCACTGTAGGTCAGGCAACTAAATCAGTTTTTTTAACTGAATTCTAAAGAAAGAGATTCTCATTATTATCTCATTTGTAGTATTAATAGAATTATGAACTCATTCATGCGCTCTATCAGTGGAACATGTCGTTTAAGTCATGACAACATGTCAACAACAAGTGCATCTTTATGGTTATCTCACAAACGGTGCGCTCTAATTGCGCTTACGGCGGATAACTGCAGCTTATGTATTGTAGGTACTGTTACAACGACGGCCTCGGTGGTCTAGTGGTTTAGCACACGCTTTACTTCCGATGGCCGCGAGTTCGATTCCTGGCACGATACAAACAATTGTATAGTGAAAACTTATGTAACTTATAAAAATTACGCAACTAATTATTTACAAACAGTAATGTAAATGTTTTTTCAACTAACTAAGAATTATAAACAGAAGATTATATTCAATAACATTCGACAGCCTCGCTGTTCTACCCGTTTAGCACACCTACTAACTTTCGGTCGCGTGTTCGATTACTCACATGGTGCAAACATTTGTATTCCTTGTATGATTATTTGTATTAGTCTGAGTGTTTTCTATATGTGGGTATTGAGTATGTATTTTAAAAAAATAAATATTTTTAGGTATTTCTTTCAGTTATGTAGCACCCGTAACACAAGCTCTGATTAGAACTAGATGGCGCTATGTAAATTGTACGGGGTTATTATTATATCTCACAAACGGTGCGCTCCAATTGCGCTTGCGGCGGGTAACTGCAGCAGACTAAGTACTGTTACTAGCCCCGTGGTGTTTTTACTTCAAGATGTCTATAGCTATGTAAACAAACCTGTTTACTGCATCCATGCGAAACTGATTCTACTATCATAACTTACAGTAAATTCTTTGTTAAGTTAAAGTAATATGGTTGTAAGATCGCCACCTGCCATTAAACCCATCGAAAGGTGGGCTTAACGTGTTACGTTTACTACTCTACAAGGTCGACAGTTGATAATGTCCCTGACTACCCGATCTGATATAACAGTCGTGATGGTATATAAATTACGTATTTAAAAATTAACTTGTGCTCAAAATTACAAGTCTGTACTGCCCGTGGATAAATCGCGATTAGTCTAGGGCAGTTTTATTTATACTAGTGGTCACGCAGTGGTCGAAATCCGACCATAAAAAAAATACAAAATGATCTAGTATGATATTCATCTGGGGAATTTGAGTAAGAAGGTGTACAATGTTTTTCTTTGACGTATTAATATAATGATACATAAACTGCACTTGATTTATGAATCCCCCATAAACAAAATAATGTCACTTCTACTATAAATGAAAGAAATTGCCAAATCAATTCCGTTCGCGTCTGTCAGTGAACCGCGAAATATTGGCAATGGTTTCAGTGCGTCAAGTTGTATTATAATCTGATCAGGGTAAGTAGGACACTATTGTGAACTGTTGTACCCGACGTCACAATGCAGGTTAGCGTGCTTGAACGTCAGGTATTACGGTCAAAGTTAGTTTTTGTTATATAGTCAGCCTTATACGGATATGACGTAAACGTTTGTTATACGAACATTTTTTATGAATGTTTATGGAATAATATTCTAACCTGCGCTTGAGATGACAAAATAAGAATGTAGTCGGGTCTCTTAGACTAGTAGAATTTAACCAAATTTAATTTTTCATTACTAAGAACTCTTTCTTATATAAAGATGTGCAACTTAACTAAGTCAAAGCAATTTCTGTTTGATTATGAACAAATGTTTATTTTATTGATACTAAAACAATGTACTCAATTTAGAATAAAATTAATTCTCAGTGTTAGTGAATAAAATTAATCCTCACTGTATTAGTGAAGATATTGTTTAACAATATTAATAGATTTATAATAATAACGACAACCCTGGATCAAGTGCACATTGGTTTCACGTTTGGGCTTTAAACCAATAAAAAAACGATCCGCCATGAAAAAGTTTGCTAGAACCTGTTAGTAGAATGATGATTCTAATAATCATTTAATATTTTAAAATAATAACTCAGGACAATTCACACAGTGCCATCTAGTCCCAAGCGAACTAAGCTTGTGTTATGGTTACTAGACAACTGATATAAATACTTAAATACGTTATACTTTTTTTTGTTTGTAACACATTAAAACATTCATAATATAGAAAATACCCAGACCAATACAAACAATCATAGTCACTAATACAAATGTTCATACTGTGCTAGAAATCGAACCCGCGACCATCGGAAAGTAGATCGGTGTAGTAAAATGCTGCCACCGTAGTGTAATTAAATTGCATCTTCTGTCTGTAATACTTAGTTAGTTGAAACAACACGTGCGTCACTGTATATAGATAATTAAATGCATAATTTCTATTTATAAGTTAGATAAGTTTTCACTATATGCCTAACAGAGAAACACATTTGCTTAGACTAGAAGTTATTATTGCTAATATACATAGCTTTAATTACATCCTTATCAACGCAATATATTTAAAGATGAATTTATGTTTATTGCACTTTATCAATGATGATAACTACTCGATACTCTTTAATGTTCAGTTATGTTTTCTCACTACTTTGTGGAAGTATTTTCTATTTTCTATTTCTATAAGTTTATATTTTTCCCTATCTATACTTACTAATATTATAAAAAGACGACGAGCAAATCCTTTTATAAAGAAAGTGAACTTTAGAACCACTGTACTGATTTATGCTTTGAATTTACTGTATTGAATTAAGTTACTCCTGAGTAGTCCTGAGTGACTATTATGTTAACTTGACATTGGTACAAAACTCATAAATTTGTGAGCTTCCTGACGAAGCCGGGGTGTGCACTAGTTTAAGTTTTAGTTAGTTTAAATAGTATTATATATGAATTCTTCAGCTTAATCTGAAACTAGTTTACCACTGACGCCTTCGAATAATTAGATATTTTTTTGTTTTCCTTTATTAGTCATACTCTGCCACATAATCCCACGCCTTGAGTCGTTTATTTTGTGATCGTATTCAAACACAAGCACTGGTAATTTTAAACCGACTATATATTGTAATTATACGGTATAAGTAGTTAGTAGTCTTTGATCTAATTTACAAGTCTCAACCGAGTATTGTCTACATTTAGAAGCACAATACAATCGATGTTTACCATTAAACAAACACGTTATGTGCAACAGTAATGGAGTATACTATTGGCGCTACAAATTATTCTAGTACGGTCTATCATGTTTACATATCATCATCATCTTTGTCTTCTTTATTTATTTACATGTAATGAATTTATAAAATCCGGACGACGCCGCGACGCGAAAACTGTCTGTTGTCGTAGGTAAATACGGATGGAGGAATTAGGTTGAAATTTTCGCAGGATATGTTATTAACATATAAGCTAAAGAAACCTGAGAAAAGTATATCTGTATTATGTTTTATTTCATTCATATTTTCTTTTTATTAATTCATTAATAACATAATAGATATCGCCATATGGATAATTATCATCGTTACCTTATATACCTACCTATAGGTGATGATATATAAATTAATATGGAGGAAGTCGCGGGCTCCTCTAGTAATAAAATCGTTTCCTACCAATAATGCCAAGCATATAAGGATCCTTATATGAGAATTTAACGTACGAAAATCGGTCAAAATAATATGATGTACGAACCAAGTGGTGACAATGTACAAGATTTTAGTAGATTTTTTAATTCAGCGTATTAGCCTAAGTGTTTTAAAGTTGGCAACTCTGTTTCCTACTGACACCAACACAGTGATCACTAGTAAGTTGGTGAGTTGAAAGCAATCAGCGGTATTCGTTACATAAATCATGTTACTTTCTTTGTTACACATTCCACGTCACGTCGCAATCAGTGCGTCGATACTGTGAATAGGATGTAGCAGATGAAAATGCCTGGGAGGTTTTTGTTACTATGCACATTTCGACAAATGAATGCCTATTGTGCGATTTGCATCTACCTTAGCTTCCACTTTCTATTGTAGGTATGTTTAAATACAATTTTATGTAGATGATGAAGATATGTATCCTCCGTTAATAATATATTTAAAAATTATATTTTAAGTAAATATTTATAAAAGTCGAAATGCTTTATAGATATTTAAGGACATTACAATGGTACGAATTATTATACATTTTTTTTTAAATAGATGTAAACACATGTGTGCCTTTATTTTAAAAAAATGTTAAACATTTATTGTATTTATTACGATTTTATTAGCAATAAAAAATAACGCGTTCTACTCATTGACGAAAGACGCTCTTTAAAATTAATTAACCAAAAATCTGGCAAATATATTCTATTTATAAATACTTTTACGGTGTAGAATGAAACGACTAGATAAATAAATTACATTTATTATATGAAATTTCAAGATAAGAGGCATGAAATCTTAGTCTTTTGTAATGGCAACGCAACTGAGTAGTATCACAGGTCTCACATCGTGACGTAGTACTGACCATGTATGGGTATAAAGTCAATAGTTAATGCTTACTAACAGCTGCCCAGCTGTTAGTAAGCATTAACTATCGACTCGTCAGTTTATTTATCATTTCAATGACAATAATAATATCATTATTAGTATTCAATATTAACGTGGCGTATATAGTTTAAACAGTCAAACAAAGTTGATTCGGCCAGAATTCCTCTAATTATTGAAATTATTACAAAAAAAATAAATGAATGTTACTCAGCCTGTAAACCAGGACGATACAAGAATGTGACCGTATCCTCACAAAAGGAAATTGCTCGTTACAGATTATGTTCCGCGGCGGCGTCGTGGGCGGGCTGGACGCACGTCGCGACGCCGCTCTCGCCCGCGTGCTCGTGCGTCTGCAAGCGCGCGCACGCGGGCTGTTGGCCAGGCGGCGCGCTCAACGTCTCCGCACGCAGCACACGGCGGCGAGGTGTGTTCAGCGGAATGTACGCGCGTTCCTCGCGGTGCGCGATTGGCCGTGGTGGAGACTTCTTGTACGTGTCACGCCGCTACTCGCCGTACACAGGACAGAACATCGCCTTAAACAAGCACAGGTGAGGGTGCAACGTTTTGTTTTCATCTGAAATTATCTTCCTTTGATAATATATTTAATATATAATAACTTTATTCATGAAGGACTATTACAGATTTTTATTATATGTCAGTTCGGAAGTGCTCTCGAGTCAAGAAGAACTGACAAAAAACTCAGCACTTATTCTTTTCAAATGAATTTGTACATGTTTATAAAATAACAGATTTTTTGAAATTCAAATTAGAATGGAGTGACCATCAGCATAGGCTATTGCAAATATGTGAAGAAAAAATAGCTACTGAAGTTCGGAATTTTCTGTTGAAATCACCCTGACTATGATATTTTAGAATAGAACAGTACCTAAGCGTCATTGCTGTTTAACTGTTTCGTGTGCTAATAAGTTGGTATTTCTCAGGCGAATCTCACGAAACTCGCCCACGATACCACCTATCATATGTATTGTACCAGCTATGATAATCTCATAAATTATTATTAATCCTACTACTTTTTTTTATTAAGTTTGAGAAATTTAGTTTTAATAATTATCAGTTTATGTAATAGAGTTGTTGGTGATTTGTACTTATTGCCAAAGTACTTTAAGCAATCGATGACAAACACAAATAACTATTTACCTTGTGCAAAGCTTAAAAAAATAATTTATTTTGTTTTAGCCTGTATAAAATAGACAAAGGTTTATTGATTATAAATTATTAGATATAATAAAATGAGCGCAGAATTGGTAAAAATACTGATAACGATTTTAACACATATACCATACCTACATTGGGTACAAACGAATTGATAAACTCTATCATTTTTTTTTAATCTGTTGAAAATAGGTTATTGGCAATTTTTTTATTCATGTATATATTACAGTCGATCACACATATCGCAATATGTATATGATTAGAGAAATATGCCACCAAACAAACTAACCCACAAAAGCGATGTCGCAAGCAATTGTCCCAAGACGGTCACAGGTTATCTCTGGAGCTCTCCATTTCATTACTTCCTGCTGCGTAGGCGATGTGAAATAGGTCGTTGACCTGCATACATGTCATGTATCTGTCATATAATAAAATGATGGATATTCTAATTCTGTCAAACGACTATCGAAATAATTCTCTCTTCACTGTCCTTTGGTTAATATAAACACTTAGTTAATATGTCATAATAACCTATAATATAAAAATTATTATGACATATTATCATGAGGATGATAATATGTCATAATAACCGCATGTCACAGTCTCTTCTAGCGTCCACATTTGCTCAGATCATCCCAGCTAGGGCCAACCAGAGTACAAAGTTTTGTTCGTTTTGGCGATTATATCTATGATAAGATTGTTTTATAGTCCATCATTTAGTTCTTGTTATTCGCTGCCAGGTCTCTGGTGAATGATTAATGAAATAGAATGAAATCAGGATACTCATGTTATTCAAAAGAGCAACACGCAAGTTTCTTGCTCGTTCTTCTTGTGATGAGACAGATTTCCGAATGAGCGGTAGATTAAAAAAAATGTGATGACTAATCAAAAGTGCTTCAATGTAAGTTTATTAGAATAAATGATTTTCTATTCTTTTCTATGTGGGCAATTTGCAAAGAATTAATCACGATGCTTTCCAGGGCTAGGGTGATCTAATATGGTTAGCAATCGGACCGATAGTCCCTATTACTACGCCATCTCATCCCGTTTAGATACAGATTACGTATTGACCCCTTATATGTAGAACCTAATATTTCTAGCAGTGTTTTGCTACACTTTGATAGATCAATCTAGATGTGCCTTTATAAGGAACAGATTAAAATAATTAATGCATCTGTATTAGTTTTCCATATTCATTTTATGATTACGAAATACACTTTCCTACATAATGAGCCCTTTTTACATAAATAACATGTTGCGTAAACTGGCTGACCTTTTTACATATCAATTATTTATTATCACTTTCTTATAGAAGGTTTGTACCTACCTCTAAACAATATTCTATCTGTAACCTAGTATGTGACATATGATGACTTTATTATTTTCGCTAGAGTTAGTTTACTTTATTCGGTAATTCAGAAACGATTGTGTTGATCCTATTACAAAACGGTTAACTTCTCTGATGATTCCTTATATTTTATTATTCTTGATTATTTTTAAAGGTATTTTTTAAAATGGACATGCGCTATTTGCATGGCCCTTTTATTTCAATCTGATTCTCATGACAGACCTTTTTATAGTGCCTCCGTTAGTCAGGCAAGTCTCCTCCTAGCTCTGCTATTACCATGTTTTCGGCGGTTGTTATAGTTTTGAGTTTCTGCCGAAATTGAGATAGAATTCTAATGCGATTTTGCGACTCCGGTAATAATGGATTGGAGGTTCGTCGTGTAGTTTTCAGTTGGTAAAAACTTAATACAAAATCCGACTGTGGAATAGTCTTTGGGGGCAATGCGTCTGGACGTTCTAAGTGGCCTGATTCAGTCTAATATTCATCATTCTACACTGTTGTTCGGCGAGCGTATACTGTTGGCGGGTACATCATACCATTATCGTCCAATATAATATATACTCTCCACATATATATATTTTCCACATGTTAAAAACTTATTTTTTAGTTTTGAGTTTACCTTGTCTTGCACTGCAATAAATACTGTGAATGAATTATTACCGAACAACGTGTGTTCGATAATTAATGTATAAATTCCAATCAACGCCACATAACAGCCCGATGATACAATGTACGTAACATCGCTTTCTAAGTCCATAAATTCGTCTCGGTGATATATTCGTGATTATCCCATACTTATTACAAGTTGTAATGGAACAGGTATGTGTATTTCAAGAAATCGTGTACGAGAACGACAGATGTAGATATTCACTTTGTTCTATTTTATGACTAATTTTTATTTAGGAAGTGATAACTATATTTATAGTTTTATATGTTTACTCCCTTATACATAAAAACCAAAAATCTCTTACAAATCCCCTGTAATTATTAGAGTGTTTTGTGACACTGTTCATTTGAAGAAAATAACATAAAAAATAAACATACCGTTCAATTAGATAAGTAGGTTGATTAGACGGTTGATGTTATTTATTTATTTTACTTACTTGTGCCGTTAATCTCTGAAACGGCTTAGCCGATTTGAGTGTACTTTCCTTTAATATGTTGTGGTAAGATTAACTAAAAAATTGAGGTTTTCTTCATTCTAATCGGTTTACACACAAAATAGCTATACGAATACAGATAAGTAAACTCAGCTAATTATGAATAAGACTACAGATGAGATTACATTACATTAAATTTGCCATTTACGTAATTGATATTCTATCTTCTCTCTATTGATTGAATTACAGTCATTACACTGAGCGTTTTATGTTCTCACTGACCGTACTCAACAAAAAATTATGAGTTATGGCGTCTGTACGTCCATGTTGAAATCATTATCATTGATGGTTCGAGATCATTAAACTTGAACCCTTGGATTTCTATTAGGGAAGCGAGTATGCGTAAGATTGTGGGCGGCGTTTTTATATTCTCACGCATATGCGTTCCAAATGATGGTAGGTACTTTCCTAATATTGAAAAAAGTAATACCACCCGCGTTCTAATAAAAACAAAAACATTATGCGCTGTCTCTTTTTCTCCCCGAATAATGATGCCGTTTTTAAATACAGTGTGACAGACATTAGATGTCTTTGATAGACTTATGATAAATAAACACAAAGATAAGCGACCGTTGTCTCAGCTAATGCCATTTGTGTTCTAATTTGAAGGCAGAGGATTAGTAATAAAATTTCGGTTTCATGTCTCATTAGTTCTTAGGAATAGGAACGTTTTAGTGGTATCACCGTTGTCACGGATGGCGACGTGATATCCGTACTGGTATAATGACGTATAATTATAATAATAATTTCGGGACAATTCACACAGCATTATCTAGTCCCAAGCTAAATGGAGCTTGTGTTATGGGTACTAGACAACTGAGATTAATACATAGATTTTATTTTAAATATATACATAATGTACCTTGAAAATACCCACACCGATACAAACAATCATACTCAGGGGTACAAATGTTTGTACCGTGCGAAGAATCGAACCCGAGACCATCGGAAGAAAAGCGGTGTGCTAAACCGTTAGACCATCGAGGCCGTCAAACTATAGACAGTATTTCTCATTTACCATCAGGTGGGTTGTCAGCTTGTTTTCCAATGGAGTTATATAAAATAGCTATCGAATTATGATGATGAGGAATATTACAGCCTACATTTATCTGCTCGGCACTCTCTTATCAAGTGAACACTATCGGAGTATTTATCTCAACCGCAAATTTCCGCACGATCGCATAGTCTCACTGATTGTGCGCGCGTGCCGATGCAACTCGAGCGCACCGCAGTCAAGTCTGCTGCGTGACTTCGCTATTAGTCCACGATCAGTCCTCAATCCTGTATTTTAAATGAACTGTATAAAAATATACTTCACAGTATCATGTGAGGTTTGTGTATGTTACAATGTTTAGTTACGTATGATGTACATATATAAATAGAATATCCTATAAATTAGAAATATCTATAAGAGTTATATTCTAAACAATTACTTCAAGTTGCGCCGTTAATCTTGAACCTATAATGAGAGTCACTAGGTGTTATATACAAATAGAAATATTCTTTATATCTGTTTTCTTACTGCTGTCTGTCGTAATCGTCATAAAAGCATGTCTTTTCTCTTTTTTATTATGACAATTCCAAATATTGTAGTAAATTTGTTGTTACCAGAACCCTTCGTAAATAATCATTCCTAAATATTGATGTAATTGTCTAACTGACTGTCTAGTCTATTTCTGCTATTTAATAAAAATTACTAAATAGTGAAGTATTTTCAAGTTATGTTTCTTTACAATAATCTAGCAGGACACAGGAAGTATTCTAAATACGTCTCTAGTTGCATTTTTTTTCTAATGGTCAATGCTCACCATAAAAGAACTAGGTTGCATTACGACCGATCTACCCGATTCCAAATGTCTCGATTATA